ATTATTATTATTATTATTATTATTATTATTATTATTATTATGGTCTAAGGCACTACACCTCTTTTTGGCACATGCTGTCAGTAACTGAGTCCCTTAAAGTCCCTGCCATAATTGTTAGTTAATTGAGCATTGCCTTTTGCTTGCTTTGTGTCATGTCACTGGATGCTGGGATATGTCACACTGGCTATGTTGGATGGAAGGGAATAGTTTTCTATCCTGACTGTGGCTAATGAGCAGATGTGATGGGGATAAGCACCAGGAAAGTGCCAAAGTCAATTCTGTGGTACAAGAGAAAACAACTGAACAGTTTGGGGGAAGGAAATATTTTGCTTTGATGACAAACAAGGTTTAAGCGCACAAAAAGGTTTGAATTTTTTGTGCTTTTATTAAACTGTGTAACCAAATTACCTCAGTCCTAGCAACATTGCCATACTTTGAACTGCTTGGCCTCCTTAATAAAGCTTGCTGATTTACACTCAAGTTTTGGATTTTGAGCGAAAATCTACCAGTACATGACACATGCAGAGGATAAACCAAGGCACATTATTCCCCATCACATTTGTGAAGATGAGGTTTGCCACTGCTGATGGTAGATAGGTGGAGCTGGGTGAGTCTTCGCTATATTGCCTATAATGCAAGCAAGATGAGAAATTTTATGTTTTATTGTCTCTTTCTTTCTTCCCATACTTTTAAAATAAACAAAACAATTTTGCATTTTCTTGATCTTTGCTAAGCTCTGACAGTTCGGAATGGAGGAAATGTATTGGTCCCTTGCTATCCTTCTGGAGTGATCTACGACCTCTTGGAATGCCTGTACCAGTATATCGACTCTGCTGGCCTCTCTAACATCCCTTTCTACTTCATCTCACCTGTTGCAAACAGCTCACTCGAATTCTCCCAGATCTTCGCTGAATGGTAAGACCCAGTGGGCTCCATTGGTTAATGAAGGGGTTTGAAGCAGCTATTAGTCTGTCACTAGGGATGTGAAAAGCTCTCAGTCTTGATTTAACTGAACTTCTCCAAATCCCACATCTCCCTCCCACATCTTGTTAGAATCAGGGTGTGAAACTTTGACCTGAATTTTGTTGGTTGTTCCAACTTGAATAGACTCTTTGAATCAATGGGATTTACATGAGTTTTGGCTCAATATCCAACAATTGATCCAATGACTCTGCTCCCTTTGGGACTAATTAATAGGATTCAGGGTTTATTTTTCTTCCCATATACAGATTTGAGTTTATTGTCCACATACATAATTTGCATAATTGTTGCTGTTGTGTGCCTTCAAGTCGTTTCCAACTTATGGGACCTATCATGGGATTTTATTGGCAAGATTTGTTCAGAGAAGGATTTGCCACTGCCTTCCCTTGAGGCTGAAGCAGTGTGACTTGCCTAAGGTTACTTAGTAGGTTTCATGGCCAAGCAGGAAATGTGAACCTAGTCTCCAGAGTCACAGTCCAACACTCAAACCACTATGCCACGCTGGCTTTTTTTCCCCCAGAACACACACATTTATTTACACAGCGTGAACTTTTGTAGACTTAAGTCTACTTCCTCAGATGAATTTGGTGGAGGAAGTAGACTTAAGTCTACAAAACTCATGCTGCAAACTTTTTTCTTTCAATTAATAATAATAATAAATAATAATAAAATTTATTTCTATCCTGCCCCTCTGCAGAAGCAATCGGGGCAGCTTACAACAATAAAATACCACAATATACATCCCAAAAACTGCCCTCCCCTTAAAATAGTATTAAACATCAAGAAATTAAAACAGTAAATTATATATATATATATAAAACAAACAGGCCATCAGCAATAGATGTTGCAGTGGGTGGGGAAAAATAAACTCACTCCTTGGCCAGGAATTAGTCTCAAAGGTGCTGCAAGATCTCTCTACATATTGATTCTACAGACTTAATACAGCGTCAGACCTGCTGGAACTCAGAATTCTGTGTAGCCAGTAAACCAGCCAATTGAAAGAATTAGGAGTTTATTGAACAAACACAC